ACTTTCTTCACAATATTCCTTACTGCAATTCTACATCTAACCACCCAAAAGCTTCTAGTCAGAGTGGTTCTAAGGTACTGAACAGATGGTATGATGTTTAATCTCATCTAACTCCCTTAACTGCCCTTATCTTAATTATTGAGCTCCAGTATTCTGATGATGCTGTAGTGTGTGCTCACTAAGAACCAGACCTTCATGCAATCGTCAACTTCTTTACCGAGGCATACGAGAAAATGAGAGTGATGCTTTACATCCGGAAGACTAAGGTCCTCCATCAACAAGCTCTTACTGAGCACTCCCCAGCTCTGATAATTCAGATTCACAATATGACTCTGAAAAACATTGACTATTTCCCATCTCGGAAGCCATTTTAGCAGAAGACTGACATCCACAAAGAAATCCAACAATGTTATGCAAACAGCATAAATACCAGCTTCATTCTAGGTAAAAAAACATGGAAATAGATTTTTGCCTATTGCTTTTAATCTTATGTATATTCCTGAGGTTTGCATTACCTTAAGAAACTCTGATTTGTATTGCTCTGCAGCTTGACATTAAGTGCTCGACATTTTACTTTTTTGTATGCTGTATGGTTGACAGTGTGTTTGTGGAAAACATCAGCTGGCAACTGGCTGAAGAATGCAGACAGATAAAAGACCAAACAAGAAGAATCTGCCCCAGAACAGAGAGCAAACAAGGGCAATTGACCTTCAAGAAAGAACACAGTGATAACTCAGCAAAGGCCCAGAGGACTGGGTGAATTGACAAGGGTGTACAAGATGGGGTGAGAGATATAGATTTTTGGGTCTTCTTCTGCGTGTCATCCTGGGGCATTGGTTCATCTAATGAGATGGAATGGCAGGAGCATGGCTCCTACTCATGATCAACTTGGCTGCCCAATAAGTTGATCTGGCACCAATAAGACTAGACTGTTAATGTATACCAGCGCAGAACAGAAATTGGGGTATGAATGTGTGGGGGGGGTGTATGTGTATTAAGCATTTAATCAATAAACATGGCATCTTGCCTTATCTTCCATCGTAAGGCTTCGCTCCTGATTTGAGCAATTGGCAATTTGTGTAACAACATCACTTCAAATGTGCAAGTGTAGCCTTCAGACACCTAAGGAAACTAGGAAACTGATGTTTTAAAGATCACAACATCAGATCCAAAATAAAGCTCATGGTTTATCAAGCAGCTGTAATCCCCTCCTTACTGTATGGAGCTGAGTCATGAACGATGTGCAGGAGACATCTCAATTTATTGGAAAACTACCAATCATACTGTCTGCAGAAGATTTTTCGAATCCAGTGAATAAATTGACAATGTTAGCATCCTCTTGCACGCAAACACCACAAGCATTAAATAGATGATAATCTAACATCAACTTTGCTATGCCAGCCACATCATCCTGATGTTCGACTCCAGACTCCCAAAGAATGTTTCAGTTTCCCATCTCAGTTGAGGTGTTTGCTCAAAAGAGGGGCAGAGAGAGTGCTTCAAGGACATCATGAAGACCCACTTGAAAAAAATACAACATTAACATCAACTCATGGGAGCCTATCACCCAGGACTGCTTGCATCAAACAGAGAAAGAGTCTGCTGCAAATATCTCATTACTTTGAAATCTTACAATGACAACATAAGATGGAAAAGCAGAAATGGCAGGAACAGTGTGCCACAGAACAAATCAAGAATCTGGAACCACCTGTCCCACATGGAAACATATGCCCACCTTGAAACAGAATCTGTCAAACCCAGGTAGGCATAATCAGCCATCTTCAGACCCACAGACAAGACAATCATCCTTCACTGTGAGGGACTGCTGAAGAAGTTGTGATGTGCTGTCTAATACCTTGGCTAATCTGACATTCACAGAGTGATTGCTTCATCTTCTTTCTAAGTAATCTTGTTACCTTGAAAGGACAATCGTGTGGAAGAAAATAAATGGGTCTGTAAATATTTTTTCACTAACTGACATTATCAAGAACTGTAACTCAATGTCAATATCTGGGGCTACAGGGAGTTAAAGCACAACCTATTTTTAGAATAACAATGACTCATGGTATCCAGTGTCATTGTTAGTTCCTTGTTATACTTGTTATTTAACTATCAAAATATTTCCTCAATAATATGATATCAGGTGAAAAATCTGTGTTTGGGGAAACTTTTAGCAAAAGAAGGGATAAAACAGCTGTGCGTATTGCTTGCATAGGGTAATTTGGAGGCCGAAGATGGTTATGCAGTAAAAGGCAACCCACAATACCTAGCAGCTGAGATGCCAATAAGAAATCCCGTTTGGAATCCCCATCCTCCCACTAGTGGAGAAGCCTGGTCCAGGGTTTCAAAGGTGACACCTCTCCTATTGTCTAAAACAGAGCAGCGTTCATTATCATGCACAGCCATCGGCTTTAAACTCTTCCATGCACTTTGACTTCACCAGTGGATGTTCTCAACAAACCATTCACCCACCAACAATAATTACAATGATAACAAAAATAATTTGCTGCTGTTGCTGTTGTTCCTACATAAGCAAGGGAAAACCACTTCTCCCTTAATGAGCATGTAAATATGAGGACACAAACAAAATGGAATAAGGATGTTCCTAGTGAGATCATCATAATCTCCTGGGTGAGGGGAAACATGTTTAAGGAGAGCAATCAGCACTGATAGCAAATTTCAAGCCTGAACTGAACTGATTCAGTTTGAGGTAAGCATTGTCCTTCATGCTTTTGCTCCTTTACATGTGGTCATTCCCTGGTAGTCAGAGTTAGAAAAGTGATAGCACACAGAGCTCCACACTTCTGCTGTCCTCACTCTGAATATTTTTTCTGAAAAGCAAAACCCAAAAAACCCTGCTCTTATATACTTGACCTTTGGTTGTGCTCTTTGACAGGGACAGAAGGATTTTTTTAATGATAAGTTTTTGATTTTAATAATATGTTCCTTGTAGGAAGGAGAGGATGAGTTGGCTTGGGGGCAGCTGCATCCCCACCCCCACCTCGTACCCCATGCCAGACAGAGGTACAGGTTTCAGACCAGAAAAGGGATGGGGACTCCCCTGGATAAGAGGCAAAGGAGTGGAAGTGGGGAAGGAATGGAAAGTGGAGAGAGAGAAAAATTATTATTTTTCTTTCTGAATAAGATGAATGGGAGTTTGAAAGTGAGGTGTTTTGGGCAGGGAGGTTTCCTACCTAGGTAGAAGATAGGAAAGCCAACACCCCAGTGAATTTCCTGGGAAACTTAATTTCTAGCTCTTCAAGCAAGTCTGGGGTCTTTAGAGTAGTGGGCCAGAAGAATGCCCCTCACTTTGGAGCAGGCCAGTGGCTCTGCCCTGGCCACCCCCATATGTTTGTATTTGTCCCCATTCCTACAGAGCACCCCCACTCCCTGCCAAGAGACCACCCCTTGATATCAGGCTTTAGTGGCCCAATAAAAACACTCCATGGGTAGGACCACTCCCAAGGGCTGCAGGTTGCAGAATATTTGTGAAATTTGTGAAAAGTTACTGCTAAGGAGGTTATTTATCAACCACAGTAAAGCCCTATTACCATAGCAAAATCCTTCAAAAATTGAAGGGAAAAAATCTACATTTAAAAAACTGATGCGTGGATTTGGAAGAAGTATTTAGTAATTTAAAGGAAAAGAATAAAGTGGCAAGTGTTAATGAACACTTTTGGATGAAGATCTGACCAACTAAAGAAACGGTAATGCAAAATTGTCTGCAGTACGAAATCTGATCTGTATGCTTTCATTACATTCTTGCAGGTTTCAACAGATTCATAGATTCATAGATGTTAGTGTTGGAAGGGACCTCAATAGATCATCGAGTCCGACCCCCTGCATAAGCAGGAAAGAGT